TTTGTTCATCATTTTGTCTTGTAAAACATCTCCTATATAATGGAGGTTCCATTTGGTTGCAATACACATCAAAAACATAGAGCTAATATTTGCTCTCTCATTCTCTCTCAATTTCTAATAAGAGTTAATATATTGTGCCAAGTTGATTACTGTGCAAAGACTGGTTTATTTTATTCCTTTCATTTTCACAGAACATTTTTGTGGAAATGAATGCACAAGGTTTCTGAATATTGTTTCTATTTGCTTTCAAAGATACAAGTGTGTAAGCATTGGTTATAAGAACACTGTTTCTAGAGGATCATGTGCTCAACTATTATATAAGAACACTGTTTCTATTCATTTGACATTATGATTGATAAAATCTAATGTAGAGAATGTGCTTTTGTGGATTCAGTCAAAAAGATGTGATATCCATATTGCTTCTTTGAACCATAATTAAATGTAATGTGTCAATTGGTATTCCTGGTTGCACATATCCCTTGACTGCATGAAGTTGTGTTGCTACATTCATTGCTGGACCTCATTATTATGGACTGATACCTTGCAGGTGGTAGAGGATGATTTAGTTGCAGCCAGGCAAGCAGATCGGAGTCTAGGCAGCCAAGATTTCAGCAGGTTAGTTGCCCGTATATGTGTCTGTGTGTGGATTACCCGATTCATCATAGTTTTCATAATAGTTGGTTTTATTTTTTGCATGCAGATGGCTGACAATGGGCCGTTTAATGTCTGTGAGTTTTGGTGAAACCAGACTCTCATTGGAACACTGGCAAATGGTTAAGGAACTTGAGAGGCTAAGAACGGAGAGGCTCCAGTTAAAGATCAATTGATCAAAAATCTAAAGGGAAGAGAAAAAAAAAAAAAAAAAAAAAAAAACCAACATTAAATGGGCAATTTCAAACCACCCATGTTTGTTGTCGGCACACCCTAGTTTTATAGGGAATGGAGAGGAATGTGCAATTTCAGACCACCCATGTTTGTTGTCGGCACACCCTAGTTTTATAGGGAATGGAGAGGAATGTGCAATTTCAGACCACCCATGTTTGTTGTCGGCACACCCTAGTTTTATAGGGAATGGAGAGGAATGTGCAATTTCAGACCACCCATGTTTGTTGTCGGCACACCCTAGTTTTATAGGGAATGGAGAGGAATGTGCAATTTCAGACCACCCATGTTTGTTGTCGGCACACCCTAGTTTTATAGGGAATGGAGAGGAATGTGCAATTTCAGACCACCCATGTTTGTTGTCGGCACACCCTAGTTTTATAGGGAATGGAGAGGAATGTGCAATTTCAGACCACCCATGTTTGTTGTCGGCACACCCTAGTTTTATAGGGAATGGAGAGGAATGTGCAATTTCAGACCACCCATGTTTGTTGTCGGCACACCCTAGTTTTATAGGGAATGGAGAGGAATGTGCAATTTCAGACCACCCATGTTTGTTGTCGGCACACCCTAGTTTTATAGGGAATGGAGAGGAATGTGCAATTTCAGACCACCCATGTTTGTTGTCGGCACACCCTAGTTTTATAGGGAATGGAGAGGAATGTGCAATTTCAGACCACCCATGTTTGTTGTCGGCACACCCTAGTTTTATAGGGAATGGAGAGGAATGTGCAATTTCAGACCACCCATGTTTGTTGTCGGCACACCCTAGTTTTATAGGGAATGGAGAGGAATGTGCAATTTCAGACCACCCATGTTTGTTGTCGGCACACCCTAGTTTTATAGGGAATGGAGAGGAATGTGCAATTTCAGACCACCCATGTTTGTTGTCGGCACACCCTAGTTTTATAGGGAATGGAGAGGAATGTGCAATTTCAGACCACCCATGTTTGTTGTCGGCACACCCTAGTTTTATAGGGAATGGAGAGGAATGTGCAATTTCAGACCACCCATGTTTGTTGTCGGCACACCCTAGTTTTATAGGGAATGGAGAGGAATGTGCAATTTCAGACCACCCATGTTTGTTGTCGGCACACCCTAGTTTTATAGGGAATGGAGAGGAATGTGCAATTTCAGACCACCCATGTTTGTTGTCGGCACACCCTAGTTTTATAGGGAATGGAGAGGAATGTGCAATTTCAGACCACCCATGTTTGTTGTCGGCACACCCTAGTTTTATAGGGAATGGAGAGGAATGTGCAATTTCAGACCACCCATGTTTGTTGTCGGCACACCCTAGTTTTATAGGGAATGGAGAGGAATGTGCAATTTCAGACCACCCATGTTTGTTGTCGGCACACCCTAGTTTTATAGGGAATGGAGAGGAATGTGCAATTTCAGACCACCCATGTTTGTTGTCGGCACACCCTAGTTTTATAGGGAATGGAGAGGAATGTGCAATTTCAGACCACCCATGTTTGTTGTCGGCACACCCTAGTTTTATAGGGAATGGAGAGGAATGTGCAATTTCAGACCACCCATGTTTGTTGTCGGCACACCCTAGTTTTATAGGGAATGGAGAGGAATGTGCAATTTCAGACCACCCATGTTTGTTGTCGGCACACCCTAGTTTTATAGGGAATGGAGAGGAATGTGCAATTTCAGACCACCCATGTTTGTTGTCGGCACACCCTAGTTTTATAGGGAATGGAGAGGAATGTGCAATTTCAGACCACCCATGTTTGTTGTCGGCACACCCTAGTTTTATAGGGAATGGAGAGGAATGTGCAATTTCAGACCACCCATGTTTGTTGTCGGCACACCCTAGTTTTATAGGGAATGGAGAGGAATGTGCAATTTCAGACCACCCATGTTTGTTGTCGGCACACCCTAGTTTTATAGGGAATGGAGAGGAATGTGCAATTTCAGACCACCCATGTTTGTTGTCGGCACACCCTAGTTTTATAGGGAATGGAGAGGAATGTGCAATTTCAGACCACCCATGTTTGTTGTCGGCACACCCTAGTTTTATAGGGAATGGAGAGGAATGTGCAATTTCAGACCACCCATGTTTGTTGTCGGCACACCCTAGTTTTATAGGGAATGGAGAGGAATGTGCAATTTCAGACCACCCATGTTTGTTGTCGGCACACCCTAGTTTTATAGGGAATGGAGAGGAATGTGCAATTTCAGACCACCCATGTTTGTTGTCGGCACACCCTAGTTTTATAGGGAATGGAGAGGAATGTGCAATTTCAGACCACCCATGTTTGTTGTCGGCACACCCTAGTTTTATAGGGAATGGAGAGGAATGTGCAATTTCAGACCACCCATGTTTGTTGTCGGCACACCCTAGTTTTATAGGGAATGGAGAGGAATGTGCAATTTCAGACCACCCATGTTTGTTGTCGGCACACCCTAGTTTTATAGGGAATGGAGAGGAATGTGCAATTTCAGACCACCCATGTTTGTTGTCGGCACACCCTAGTTTTATAGGGAATGGAGAGGAATGTGCAATTTCAGACCACCCATGTTTGTTGTCGGCACACCCTAGTTTTATAGGGAATGGAGAGGAATGTGCAATTTCAGACCACCCATGTTTGTTGTCGGCACACCCTAGTTTTATAGGGAATGGAGAGGAATGTGCAATTTCAGACCACCCATGTTTGTTGTCGGCACACCCTAGTTTTATAGGGAATGGAGAGGAATGTGCAATTTCAGACCACCCATGTTTGTTGTCGGCACACCCTAGTTTTATAGGGAATGGAGAGGAATGTGCAATTTCAGACCACCCATGTTTGTTGTCGGCACACCCTAGTTTTATAGGGAATGGAGAGGAATGTGCAATTTCAGACCACCCATGTTTGTTGTCGGCACACCCTAGTTTTATAGGGAATGGAGAGGAATGTGCAATTTCAGACCACCCATGTTTGTTGTCGGCACACCCTAGTTTTATAGGGAATGGAGAGGAATGTGCAATTTCAGACCACCCATGTTTGTTGTCGGCACACCCTAGTTTTATAGGGAATGGAGAGGAATGTGCAATTTCAGACCACCCATGTTTGTTGTCGGCACACCCTAGTTTTATAGGGAATGGAGAGGAATGTGCAATTTCAGACCACCCATGTTTGTTGTCGGCACACCCTAGTTTTATAGGGAATGGAGAGGAATGTGCAATTTCAGACCACCCATGTTTGTTGTCGGCACACCCTAGTTTTATAGGGAATGGAGAGGAATGTGCAATTTCAGACCACCCATGTTTGTTGTCGGCACACCCTAGTTTTATAGGGAATGGAGAGGAATGTGCAATTTCAGACCACCCATGTTTGTTGTCGGCACACCCTAGTTTTATAGGGAATGGAGAGGAATGTGCAATTTCAGACCACCCATGTTTGTTGTCGGCACACCCTAGTTTTATAGGGAATGGAGAGGAATGTGCAATTTCAGACCACCCATGTTTGTTGTCGGCACACCCTAGTTTTATAGGGAATGGAGAGGAATGTGCAATTTCAGACCACCCATGTTTGTTGTCGGCACACCCTAGTTTTATAGGGAATGGAGAGGAATGTGCAATTTCAGACCACCCATGTTTGTTGTCGGCACACCCTAGTTTTATAGGGAATGGAGAGGAATGTGCTCAACCCTACTATTCCATGTGGTGGACCCACTACATCAAAAGATCCAATCCAACTTCAAAACATTTGGTTGGTGGGTTGGAAGGATCAACTACACTTAGGACTTGTAACTTATTATTACCTTTAATTATTTTATAATCAAGTATTCAAATTAATTTACATATATTTTAACTTATTTCAAAATTTTAAAATTAACAATTAAAAAACTCCAGTATCCTTTAGAGTAATTCGAATTTGAAATTTTAAATCTTATTTTTAAATTTTTATCGTTCACCTAACTCTTTAAATTTTAACTTATAATTAAGATTAGCTAAGCAGTTGGAGCATTTTTTTTTATGTAGCATGATGCTTGAATTTGAGTTTTACCAGTTATGATCGGTAATTTCCTTTCTCTCCAAAGTGTTGACAATATAAATATATATTAAGTGTTTCAAAAATTATATAAACTCTTACAATGTAACCAACCTATTTTCGATATAATTTTTTTAAAATTAAAAATTAATAATAAGAAAATAATAGTTAAAAACATCCTTTCAGTTTTCAGTTGAACTTAATTAGAATCCTATTATATCGCACAAATATTATGTGTTTAATTAGAATCCACAGAACACTAAATGGATGTCGACTTTGTAGATGGGGTACTTTCTATTTGGATATCTTTTGTTCTTCTATCCAAATCCATTTTCACTGTACGATTGTTAGAAAAATTTATCATATAATAGAAAAATACCTTAGAAGAGAAAAGTAGAAATATCAAACAAAAGATCCCAACTCATATATATATTTTCGTCTTTTCTTTTGTCGTGATAGTGATATATATATACACACAAAAATAATTCATGTAAATAGTTAATTAATGTAATCTTTTTATTTATGAGTAACAATATATAAATAAAAATTTCATATATAAAACTTATAATTTTATTGAGTTTCAACCATATCAATTTATAATAAACAATCTATTAAGATGTCTTTAATTACATAAATGATGCTGTAACATTATTCTGATACAAAATTTATATAAAAATTCTCATGAAATAATGCTTTCTTTTTTTTTTTGTTTATTAATATTAGTGAGAGGTGTGACCTACCGCCCTAATTTTGTGTTGACTTCTCATTAGAACAATGGAACATGGCTTGATTCACCACAAATGTTAATTAATAAATGAAATGGAAAAGTTTGAGCTTTTGGATTTTCTGCATATAAATGGAATGGGCAATTTCAAACCACCCATGTTTGTTGTCGGCACACCCTAGTTTTATAGGGAATGGAGAGGAATGTGCAATTTCAGACCACCCATGTTTGTTGTC